ACACACACACACACACACACACACACACACACGATTTCTTATCTGCTTTCCATCAATCCCACATACACACAATCAGACACAAACTGCCAAAAACATCTCTAAATAAACTCTCAAAATGGAAAAAAAGTTAGTTTTGAATTACTACCTCAATTTTGATGTCAGAGTATCTTGAATGTAACTTGCTTTTCTATGTTTAATCTTGTGTTGGGTTGGATAATATGATCTCTGAGGAAATAATCATTAGTAATGTTGATCCGAAACATTCAATGTAAAATTGAGACATATAGTTAAGTTCTGGAATAATGTAACTATGTTCAGTAGTAATGGAGGGATAGCATCTTAAGATTTCATACTTTAGTCATTTGAATTTTCTAGTAAGTCTAACCAACAGTTGCCCCCAAACAAGCACCTTTACCCGTGGGTCTGTGCCTCAGAGAGTTGTCTTGGCTTTAAAACTTCTCTGCAATGCATCAAAAGAACCAGATCATGACTACATCAGTGCCAGAGAATCCTCTTTCAGTCCAAACCCAATGCAATCTCCAATTTACCTTAAAAAAGGGGCAATTCTAGCCCCTATAATCCATGGCACAAAACAACTGTATATGTCTCACATTCCCCCACTTCCTCTGCGTCTGCCTCGCGGCCCGACCAGCGCTCTCATAATTTCTAACCCCGGCCTGAGACACCACCTGATTATTATTTCTGGGCAACGGGATACTTTAATAGCCCTCTCCACTCCCCTTGATTGGAGATGCGAGAGATAATAGCCCCAATATTCAGAGGAGAGGGGTGGAGGGGAAAGGGGATTTGGCGTTCCCCATTCCCTTAGCCTGGGAAAACTGGGACCGTCGTAGAGATGCAATGGAAAGAGGCAATAAGGCAACAGTTTTCTATCCAAAGGTTGAATGTCTTTGTTATACTTGGATGAAGGGATAAAGGAGTGGGAGTTTTCAGTTCCTATATATCGGCCATGCCAAGCACAGATCTGAATTATTGAATGCCACAATATTTTCACATGGAACGATGGCAGTAAGTACCTTTAAAGTTTGAGAAACTTCACACTGACAGATTGTTCTCACAAAGGTCATGAACTGGGTGATGCATGGATGAAATATTATAATCCTCTGAGAGTTTTTACAACACTGGAAAGTTACTTGAAACCTCCCTCTCAATCCTCGTTCTCTCTCTCTCCCTACCAGACGTGTTGGTTTAATGGACATCGAGAAGATCGCTCCGCTGGAGGAAGGCGCCCTGCCCTACAATTTGGCAGAGGTCCAGAGACAGGTAGGGAATATGAAGACTTGATGATGTGCTTGGTTTCCTCTTCCACCTTGGCAGCTCTTTTCCCTCCCGGTACGTTCTCTAGGTCTACATGTCACAGGGCACATCACTAAAATTTATAATTGAGGAAAGTGATATTACCTTCACAGGTTATCAATCCCCCAACATCAAAACATCAGTTTAATTTGGAATTTTGCATTTTAGAGTAAATGTATTCCACAATTCTCTGTCTGCCTGTTTGTGGCTTGCATATCTTTAGAACTTTTCATCTGTGTGTATTGTTAAGGGCCCGCGTACAGTAGTGCAGTGTTTAATTTGGTCCAACTTTATATGTTCAATATTAATAAACCGTTAAAAAACAGGTGTCCAGCCCCCTGCAACAGCGGCAGCTGTGACTCATCATGTGACATTGTTGATCACAACAACAGTGTGTTCACGACTATGACAACTGATTCTCCAGCTCAGGTTTGTGTGTACTGAGTCGAGCTTTATTGATCTCTGGATAATCACATGAACAGCAGCAGCGGTGGAGCAGCTTCAGGGATTTGCGGACTGAGTCCAGCAGCCAGTCTTGTCTTTATTAATGAATTAATTAAGTAATTACTGCAGGTCACTTTTACAGTTTAAGAAAGAATGCTGCAACACCAAGCACACAGCCCTTTCCAAACAGGAAGGTTAAGAATGGGCACTGCACTAGTAGAATTAAAGTAAAGGAATACAGATACAAAAAAACTAATTTTGTGAGGTATAAAATGGAAAGTTTCCCTCCAAGTAGCCAGTCAGCCAGTACTCATCAGCCCTGCACATTTTCAAAAGTTCATACCAAGGTTCAAACCAAGTTGCATCCAAGTAACTTCACATCACAGCCTTGAACACTCTTGAGACCTAATCCCCACATGTGGTTTCTGTCTTATAAAAAGCATTCACCCAAAACTCACAAATCCATGAAAATAAAGACAAGCAACGCCATCCTTGATACCCAATGAAAGTCAAACATGCCTCAAGTTGCAAATAATAGACATGAAATGATTTCAGAGCAGCTAACGAGAGTAATTTGTAACCAAGGAGAGGAAGAAGGATGTAGGGAGAGCCAGACAGATGAGCAGAGGACTGTTTTCTTTCTCAGGCTGTTTGGTCAGAGCTGTGTTGCCTGGTGGGTTCCAGTGCTACAGAGAAAGCTTGGCCAGGCCATGCTGGATCAGACTGGGGCCAAAGGGGAGCAAGCAAAGGGGCCCAGCACTACACAGACGCCAGTCCTACCACAATGAGCCACTTTAGGCCCTTGTGGTTTGGCCTCAGGGGCTGGCCGTCAGCATGCTGGAGCTCTCTTCTCCTCATCTTTCGCTTGTTCTCTCCATTTCCTTTTTGATCTACATCTCCCTCTTGCTCTCTCTCCCTCTCTCTTCTCTCTACATGTTTGCCGGTTCGCCTTTTCTCTCTTTATATCCTGTTAACTTGTTCCCTCTCTCTCCCTCAAACATCCTGACAGTTAGTATTGCCAAGTTTCATCAGCCCTCAGGCAGACAGAGTGGAGCAGGATGGGAGAAGTGGAGGAGCTTGTGTAAAGAGGACGTTTGGGCAGGAAGCAAAATCTGAGGATGAATTGAAGGAATGGGGGGTGGGGGTGTCTGGTTCTCTGACAGGTGGACCTGTTCTAGAGACTCCCATCCCTCTCTTACACACACATACTACAGTCCACCGCCCCCTCTCTCCCCAGGGTGGAGAGGCCAGGGCTAGTCAGACCAGACAAGGCAACAGGTACTTCAGGTGGAGGGTGCGTGTGACTAATGCTGGTTATGAGCGATCCTCTGCGCTCAGATTACTCTGATTCTAATTGTATTTGACAAATGGTATTTCAGGCTAATGTAGTACAGATGCAGTTACACAGATTTTTGTCAACCCAGGGGAGCAATAAAATGTTAAGCAGCGAAAATAAAAATATGTCAAAAGATAATACAGCCATATCTCTATACGTCCTTAGCTTCAGGTGGACATGGGCAATATATTAACAAGGAATAGATGAAGTAGTAATTCCAAATTAAATGTAATGGGGGAGTGTGTTAACTTGGAATGTAATGTTAACGTATACAGTACAATGCAACCAATTTATGTTATTTTGTTATTTAGAAATGTGTAATAACTAAAATTAGATTTTGGACAAAAATATATTTAAAAAAAAGTTTATTATACTTTTAAAAGAGCAAAGAAGTTGCATAAAAAGTTGATCAGGTTGTTCAGGTATCAGCTCTGTAGAGCGTCGCTTCAGCAGATATGAGTTCATGGTTCATAGTTCTTCATGTTTTATTCCACACTATGGAATCGTCTGTATTTCTAACCCTAAATCATCACCTAATGACTTTTGCTAACCAAGCACTTAATTGTCAACAAATCTATCAAAAAAACTCTATTTATGATTTTGACAATTCATTATTTGTTAATATTTTTTAGCAAGTGCTTAGTGACAGATTGTTAAAAGAGAAGTTTCTTAATACTATCTTTTATTTTCTATATCATATTCAAATGCTGGATTTGTTTACAAAGATCGTTCAGTATTCTGTGACTTTAATGTGTTTAACATGATTCTGCATGTGTGATGAATTATTTCATAACCTGTAATTTATCTCGCAGGATGGTGGAATTGGATGTGTGGCATCCACTGTTTTATGAGGAATGGTTTTGAAGTATACGTGGAAAGTTATATGGAAATGAACCAGTGTCATGTCTGCTGGCATGTGTCTCTGTCTAACAGTTTTTATTTGCCTTGTTGACTGTGAGCAGCAGTTGGGCAGTGATGGCTCCCGCCCTGTCCTCGTCCAGGTAGCAGAGTCGGCCTACAGGTTCACCCTCGGCTCAGTGGCAGGGGGTAAGAGTCACACCCCATTGTCTCCCTGCATACCTTCAACCCACCGCCCATCCACCCATCCATTTATCCACGTACCTAGCTACCTGCCTACCTGCCTACCCCCGCACTCTGCTGTCCTCATAAGAAAAAGGGTGAGACAGAGGACAATGGCTCCTCTATTGCCCCTTCTCTTGCTTACAAGAACAACGGTCGCTCCCCTGCTTAAAGAGAAGTGCTCCCTCTTCTTCTTGTTCTCTCTCTCCCCCTGTCTCCACTGTCCCTCTGTCTCGCTTCATCCTGTCCCACCTTCCTGCGTGCCATGGGAAAACCTTCTTTTGTGGATTCTTTTGTACCTGTGTGAGTGATCACAGGGAGGAAGGTGAAGGTGGGGGGGGTGAAGGGTGGGGCCCAGTTCTTGTGTTTGGCTCCAGACTCCCCACTGTTTTTCTTCTACTCCTCCCTTCCTTCATTCCTCCCTTCTCCTCCTCCTTCTATCCCAAGGGAGACAGCTTAATAAGGAGGTACAGGGCCGCCATCTCTTCTTCTCTCAGTCTCTCTCTAATTAAGTCTGTCGCCCAGGGTCGGTTCTTTTTGTTTGCGTCCATCTCACAGGCTGAAATCACTGCGACTCAAAACATCTTTCTTAGCATTGTCCTCACAGACTTCCCCTTCCTCCTCCTCTACTGCTTCTTCCTCTTTAAGGGTCAGTTCACCCAAATTACAAAAATACATATCTTGAGTGGTATCTAGTAATGCCAGCAGTTAAAAATTCTAACCCCATTAAATTGTATGTGCATTAATTAAAAATGTTCAGTGCTTATAGCATTGAAAAACAATCTTGCAATCTTTTTAGTGAGATTTGAACTATTTGCATTCATCAAATTCTTCAACGATGAATGCCACTTGTTCATAAAAGTGCATGTGTGAGAAGTCTACCTGTTCTGCACTCTTTCTTTTACTATACATGTTTTTATCCACCAAAGTCAATTATATTAAGACGTTATGATTTTTACGTCAAGCAAGTGTTTTTTTACTGTTGCAGTCTTACAATAAGCTTAAAAATGGCTCTTGTAGTTTGCTAGTAGTTTGTATAACATATTTTCAATGTAAGCATTAAGTAGCTTAAAGTGATAATCACCAAATATCATGTGACGTATCTTCACTCCTGCTCTTCTCATTGTTCTATTTCTGTTGCGAACACCAAGAGGAAAACAATGGTGGCACGGTCATAAAGTCTTTAGTGTAAATGTGTGTTAAAATAAAAAGATAAAACCCTGCTAACATGTGGCTGGCATCTGAATAAAGCTTTTGTTTTGTTCTCTGCAGCTGTGGGTGCCACAGCGGTGTACCCCATCGATCTGGTGAAGACACGCATGCAGAACCAGAGGAGCAGCGGCTCCCTGGTGGGAGAGCTCATGTACAAGAGCAGCTTCGACTGCTTCAGGAAGGTGGTGCGCTATGAAGGCTTCTTTGGACTTTACAGGGGTGGGTATGCATGAATACAATTTTTTAAACTGTATTTAAAAGAGAAAAGTGACAAATTTGTCAATGAGAAATGCTGCAGTTTTGATTATGTCAAAATAATATTTGTAATAATTACAATAATTTAGTGTTCAGCCTATCAAAACATCACGCAAGGCTTCAACATGTTTCAATCATGCAAAAGTTTTTTTATTAACATTCAAGTATCGGTATCTCTGGGATCATGGTTATATGAAAGTAATACAAGTGTACCTTTAGGAAATCAAGTCACGCAGACAAATTTATGAAAGAGGTTTTTTTTAAAAGGAGCTGAGATGTAAGAGACTAAGGAGGAGACATGTAGTGTGGACAATAAAAGAGAAGGGAAACGGGAGGAGATGAGAAGCGTAGGGTGGACAGAGGGGCGGTGTGACTTCACCTCTCTGACCTGCCTCCTTTGAAGTGATTACGAACTGGTCGGGCACTTTTCAGAGTGAGACAATGAATGTCAAAAGCAAGGCCACATACCTTAAGCCTGTGTCACAATTTAGTGATGCCGCACGTCTAGACCCTATACACTCACACAAACACATAAAAAGACAGGCATGCACAGGCGACAGCTTGGGCATGCAGGTATGCACATACCAGTGCACGGCATCCCTAATGACTACCTGCCCTGTCTTCAGACACTGGAGTTAGTGTGTCTGTGTGGGTATTGTTGGGGTAAGACTGAAGGAGGATTGAAAAATGGTTCCCTGGAACAGCAGAGGTCCCTTTTTAAAAAATCCCATGATTTTGATTGACAGCACTGGGCTCCTGAGAGGAAACCTGAATGCATGACTTTCTGTGGGAAACACAAAGGCCATCAATGGTGGAATGGCTTCACAGACACAGAGACAGACATGTCTGGCTCCAGATGTACAGCCAGACAGGTATCATGACAGCCAAACTGAAGTTACGTAATATTCCTTTAAAGTTGCTCCGCTTTTAGAAAATATCTGCTAAAGGGGGAATGTTAAATAATCTGCTCAAAACTGGCACAGCTACTTGTGTTTGATGCTGGATGAAGGAATCTCTCATAAACAAAACAGCACAAGAAGAAACAGGATCAGGTTTCCAGTTCTTTTAATGACGATTATTTTTTTGTTTGTGTTTATTCGAATATATTTTGTGTTGAAGAAATTCTTGGAAATGTTAAAAAATAATTTCAGTTTAATGGTTATGGTTTGGGTGTGAGTGCGTGTGCGTGTGTGTGTTTGCGCATGTGTCTGCACGTGTGTCTGGGTAGGGGGCCAAGTTTCATTGTGCTCTGTGGGGATTATTTTGTTTATTTTTATCCAGCTCTGGGTTGTAATTGAGGTCTGTGTAAACTTTTGGTTGGTTTGTTTTATACTCTGCCCTTTTTCCTATTTTGGGAAGCAGTTTCTCTTTCTTCATCCTCTCTTTACCCCTTCTTCCTCCCTCTCTCTCTCTCTCTCTCTGTCTCTCTCTCTCTCTCTCTCTCTTCTTGCCACCACTCTGATGTCCCCGCACTCCACATCAATAGATTTCATTAGTGTCTGGGGGGATCCTGCAGGGTCAGACACATGCAGCAGGAAGCCACACTTCATGTGGAGTGTGTGGAAGTGGCATATGTACAGTGTGTGTGTGTGTGTGTGTGTGTGTGTGTGTGTGTGTGTGTGTGTGCGTGCGTGGGGAGGGGTACCACAGCACTCTTTTTTTTTCTAATCATCTCGTCGTTTCCTAATGATAGGTCTGGTACCACAGCTACTGGGTGTGGCGCCCGAGAAAGCCATAAAGCTCACAGTAAGTCGCTGCGTTACACACATGCACATAGACACAGATCCATGAGTTTCTATCTTTCTTTCTTACATCACGTGATTCTCTGCATCTAACATGTATATTTGGTTAAATGCACTTAACAACCAAAGCTTTCAAAGCAATAACTGTGTTATCAATATTGTTGTCAATATAACTTATGTCAGTACCTGATCATTAATGGTTTATGCTTGTTGATGCCATTAATTTATAATCTCCACTTGTCTCTTAGTGCAATGTAAATTAAGTCAATAAGGTGATGTTGGTGTTAATATTTTTGCTATGGATTTTCTACATATCAGGTTCCACAGAAAATACTGTATGTAGTATATTCAACCTATATTCATATGTTGGCTTCCACTCTACTGTACGGAATGGAAGCTTTGTATGAAACTATCATTTGGTGTTTCCAGGTGAATGACTTTGTGCGAGGAAAGACCAGACAGAAAGATGGCACCGTCCCTCTGGCCTCTGAGATCCTGGCTGGTGGATGTGTGAGTCTTTTTTTGGACATTTTTGACAGTTTAGTGTTGGATTGTTTTCATCCGATCGCCTCAAAAGAAACAGTTATTTAAAGATTTTTACCGAGAACCTTTATAAGAAAATATTTAACTGACCCTCTGACTGTTCCAGAGGTGTGACCATAGTTGTAATAAGCCATTCAGATTTTGTCGTTAAACAAAAGAGCAATGACCATTTGCAAAATCGAATATTATCCAATAGGGATGTAGAACATCATAT